ATGCCAAGTGTGAGGGGGTCAAGATAGGAATTCACTTCTTTTCTTCAAACACCTGCCACCGCAGTGACAGAACACCCACATTCACTTTGTAGGGCAACTCAGACAAAGAAGAAAGGAGAAATTAAAAGCAGCCCAATGAATTAAACATGTCTATATTTACACTGGAGCTGCACGCAACTTCCCTGTTAGTAACCAAGGATCTTCTTTCACTTTGAAACGTCTGAAAACGTCTTGAAACTCTGAGTAGATGTCACATTTTGCTAACGTATGGTATAAGTAATTTATTCATTGATGCTGTGAGTACTTTGTCAATGTGAAATTAAAATTTGCTTGTTGCACAGGAATTGTCAAGAAATTTTTTGATCTAGTTCCACATCACAAGGGGTGATAAATGATCTTGGAATGAGCTGAGCTTGATTTAGGAAGCATGTGACAGGAATAACGAGTGAGCATCATGAGAAATGAGAGAACTGAGGGAAAGATCTCTTACTTACCCACCAGTACATGAATCACCCTCTGTACTAATCTGACCCATGAGGCCTTGTTTAACCAACACAGGGTTAACAGGTGACTTTAATTAACCCTTAAGTTATCCCATCTTTTCAGTACTGATCCTTGATAAGGTCCATTTGGCATTTCCCAGTGGCACAGAAAAGACGTTTGTCTTTGTAAGCTTTACCCATCTCTCCTGCATGGAGTCGGCTTTGGGTACACGGGCCAAGCCCCAGCTAACCTTTGACCTCAGATACTGTGGTGAGGCGACCTCCCTGCTTTCCTCACACGGAGCGTATGGCCCCTGCTCCGCTTTCAGGCAGTCGGTGAGCCCAGTTAGCCATCATCGCTTTAGAGCCCAGCGGCATGCTGAAGGCTCTTGGACCAGCTTGGATGGCCGAACTGTGGGTGTGCTGGCCCTTTAAAGGGAAGTGCTTAAGGTACTAATTCCCTGTGATATTCCATCTGTTCCACCTTTAAGCGCGGAGGTCTGGCCAGGTTCTTTCGTGGAATAAGGCTACATCCCTGCTCTTTCACACAGGTAAGTACCTGCAAGAAGAATTTGGATGCCTTGTTTAAGCCTCTTTGCAGGGTACTTCTTCCATAATAGCCTCCTGCATCACTGCATCGCCCCCCCCCCCCTCCTCCCAGCAGCCCCTCCTGGTAGAATGCTGACTTAATATGTGTACACAGGAGCTGCTCATTTACTGAGCATTTGTTGATCGCCCACTGCATTCATTACATCCGTTATTGCTGAGATAATTCTCCTCATGTGGTGGCTGAGACTTCTTTATTGTTAAAGGTGAACCTTGGCGACTTGGCAAAGCCCGGAGAAATGACAGAAGTCCTGTGTGAGATTGCCGTAATGAGCCGTGCCATGGCAAGCCGAAGCCAGGGAATGCGTTTTTGCCTCTGCGTGTGCTGGTCCGAAACACATTCACTTCTGCAGTGAGAATCCGGCTATTCAAATTCCCAGCAACTTTGGATTCAGCGCCCCCTATAGCTGAGAAATAATGTAGATGTTGAAAGCAGAATGGGTAAAGCAAGGAGCGGTAGATTTTTAGATGCCGGGGTGGGTTGGCGGTCACAGCACATGAGCAGAGACAGGCATGTGGATGGCTAGGGGAATGTCACGCTTTCTGTCAGCCAGATAGTGAACGTGCTGCATTTTCACCCCACTTTTGAGTCAAAGTCATATGCAGACACAACTAGAGAGAACTAGAGAGCAAATAGCCCGATGTCGTAGGAGAAATAGGCTAAATGTACATTCCCTACAGGGGCGTTTGGCAAGGAACCACCGTCTTAAGCTGCAGAATCTATATATAGATTTATAAGTAGAGCCTGTAACACAAGGAACTAATTCTTTGTGATGGTAAGTTTTTCTCCCTAACCATTGAGCCCCCTGCTGCCGACATCATGCATTACGGTTCTGCATTCTTGGGGGAAGCCCATATTTGTGAATAATGCTGGTACGGGGAAGTTGGTGGAATGCAGTAGAAATGATAGAACATGGATAATGAAGGAGGAGGAGGCAAGGTATCCATCTCCTGTCAGATACCCGAAGGGTACCTCCCCAGGGGTATGGTCCCCCCCCCCAACCTGCAGAAATCTGAAGCCTGAAGAGCACTAAATCATGTGTAGTTTCAGATTTTTCAGCTCTGGCCTAATTCGCTGCCTTCCCCCTCCAGCCACCCGCCTTGGCCGTGGTGAGTGTGGCAGCATCATGTTCTGTGCCTGAGTCACAGTAACAATGACTCATCGCCCTGATGCTCCAGAGTTCATCATCACACAATGACCCTCATGCCAGGAGCTGTGATGATGCTGCACCCTGTCCTGATTTAAAAAAAAAAGACAAGTATCTCTGACTGAAGCAGTGCTAGTTGAAAATTACAGCTTTGTATTACGTACTCGTGTCACTGGAATATGTGTCTGAGAAGGTCCATACTATGACCTTTAGGGTATCTTACATTTCCTTCTCGAGGTTTGTATACTATTTATTATTGGGTCATGTTTTGGGTTAATCCCCAGGTGTTCATGCTTTCCTACCTCCTTTAGGTTCATCTCTTGACTTTATCCCTCAGTCAGAGATCTAAGAATCTAAGAGGTGAAACAGTGCTTCACCAAATAAAAAGAAAAGAAATAAATAGCATTCATATTATATAAAAATATAATTTTAATACCATTGGACAATTCAACGACCATTTCCATGTGAGACCAAAAAAGTGCAGCTGTTCAAAAATGTCTCACAAAGCTTTGTGTGTTAAGCCTGCCTAGTGAAGCTTGCATGTTCTCCATACAAACATGATTGACACGTTCAACCATTCAGAACATGAGTTCAGCCATCAGGCACATGTTCGTAAATGTTCCTTTTTGTTTTGTGGACTTGGAATTGGTATACTCAAAGTGAAAGAGCCAGGAGTTAAATGACTTATTTCTTCAATTGAAAAGTGTCAACCCTAGTAAGTGATAATTTGATTGACGTAGACGTCCGTCTCTAATTAGCTAAACATCATGACTCGGGGAAGAAAAACAGTGAGATGTTGAAAATTCTCATTTATGCACTTTCATTTTTTGGTTGTCAGGATCTGGCATTTAGGGGCCACGATGAGAGTAAAAACTACAGAACGAAAAAAAACAGATGTGTGTTCCCACTACAACGATGTTCAGGCTTTTGTTGCTGTTTGTGTTGCATATGTAATGTAGAGCAAAACAGTCAGTTGAAGGTTTGGTATACAATATAAGTAGAGCTGCATTTCATTAAGATTAACAACCAATGCAATATTTTAATATTTACTGTGATGACTACTATATGATAAGTTTTGAAATTATACCGGGGGGGGGGGGGTCAGTCTAGAGTTTGCCACTGCCCCCGGTAAGGGTGGGGGTCAGGGCTCCTCTGCAATGGGCTACTTCCAGAACAGCCAACGACAAAGAATAACGGCACGAGTAAAGGTCTCATGAGCCCTGGTTTTATCAGTGAAATTCATAGAGGGTTTGTTTATCCAGGGCAAAATAGCTAACGTGCCACTTTGTCTTACAATCAGAAGCTGGCAGAGCTGAGTTTGTTTAACCTTGAGCAAAGGGGACTAATGAGTGACATGAATCAGGTGTATAAGATTCTAACAGGTTTAGATGATGTTCATCCAAATTGCTACTGCAAAGTAAGTTCTAATTCAAGAACTCATGGCCACAGTTGGAAACTAGTGGGGGAACACTTTAGTCAGGATCTGAGAAAGAACAGCTTCTCACAGCATGTAACTGAAGCCTGGAATAGGCTGCGCAAAGGGGTACTGCAGGCTAAAACCCTAGATTCCTTCAAATCTGAACTTGACACTACCCTGACAATTTTAAATTATTAGTTTAATTCCCTCCAAGCGAGTGCGATGGGCTGAATGGCGTCCTCCCATTTGTAACTCCCTTATGTTCTTATGTTCTTAATCCAAAGAGAGATGGTGTGATATAAAAAAATACAGAATGTTCCCTGTGAAAAATAAAACATCTCAGTTGGGACGTTTGAATTTACCGTGACGCAGGGACTCGGTGACCCTCTTGCAGATGAGTGGCTGGAAGATGGATAGGTCAATAACGAGAGAATAGCGTTAAACGCAGCAGTGCTGTGGCTTATCTGATCACAGCAATAGATCTGCTCCTCGCTCACCGATGACAGCTTTACTTCAGAGGCTTGAACTTGCAGCTTTCACTCTATAAGTGAATGGTGTGGGTCCGCAGTGTTTGCAGAGAGGTGTGTTGCACTGGACACGGGGTAATTAATCCTGTAGGGGAATCCATAGCTTTCAGGGTGTGTTTGGGATTCGAGATGAGGAGTGCCAACGACGCCCAGGGCAAAGGCTTCACACGTGGCTCTTTCACTCAGGTCAAAGCCACACTTTCGCCAAATGCCAACATATCAGCACTAGGACAGGGTGCGACCTGCATTTATCGGACCACATTCCCGCTCATCTTAGGACAGTGAGAGACCCCGGCAGCACCCCAGCCCGTTTGAGTATGACACACGCCCCCCCCCCCCCCACCTGTCTCAGAGAGCTGATAAACGCTGTGTAGGATTGATGCCTGGAAATGAACATCATTTACTTTCTTCAGCATGTCTACAGGTGGAGAGGACACTCAGGAAAGAGAATGTAACCAATTTTCTTCCCTCTTTTTCACCTCCCAGCCCGAAAGATCTGGAAGAGTGGACCACGTGTGTTTGTGAGCGGCTGGGCGTGAGCACGTGCGTGTGAGTGCGTGTGCGGGTGTGTGTGTGTGTGCAGCTGCTGTCACATGGCCTCCATGCAGGACGGGGTGAACTTGAGTGCTCCTCCCTACAGCAAGGTCCTGCTGTTGGGGGCCATTGCTGCCGCCTCCGCCTTTGTGGTCACCATCCTCATTGTGCTGCTCTGCGTGGGCTGCCAGAGGTGAGACTCCGCCTCCCCTTTACATTAAGCCCCACCCCTTGGGGTCTGCCCCACCTCCCCCAGCTCAGAACCCCGCCCCCTGTATCTATATCTCTTCAACCAACAAAATGATCTGCCTCTGTATCTGTATTCAGATAGAAGACTGGAAGTGGGTGTGCAATAGAGTCCCAATAAAACTGTATTTTCTGACCTAATATTCATTGGCAGTGCAGTGTCTGTGCCTTAACTAAACTAAGTTTATGAACAGTCTGAATTCTCAATGCCCCGCTCTCTTTTACTGAGGGACATTGATCAATCACAAACTGAAAAAAAGTTTTATAAATTTAAAGATTGTGTTTTGCATTGGAAATAGAAATTATTTACAGTAATGATTTAGCTTTAAATATACTTCAGTCGAAGGGAATAATCTTAAATTCCTGTGATGCAACATTCGCATTTGCTGACATTAACGTTACTGCAGTTCACTAAGGAAACATGAATTACTAACAGCAATACGGTAAAACACTGTTTTTGCTCACTATTCAAACTGTTTTTTGTCACTGGTAGGAATTTACACACAGCTAAAAATTATGTATTGTATAGGTTTAGGGGTTTGGGTGTGCATAGGGGTTAGAAAGAAATCTGCACATGACAGCGACACCTCCCCCCGTCCATGGGAGTTTCCCAGACTGACAGTCAGGGAAGGGCAGCTCTCAGCCCCCTGCCTGTCCTGCACTGGCTTGGTGGGTCCACTACACAACACAGATCTTTTAAATGATTTGTAGTAAATGAAATGGCTAGTTAGTGAAATCGAAGTCCTGTGTTTCAAACAGAATGGGTGTTTAAATCTTGTGTCCATCCTCAATGATATGAATCAATCTGAAGAAACAGACTTGTCAGTCATGGAGCTGCCTTTTGCAGAATAATAACTCAGAATTTTGGATCGAAAAAACATCTGTTTACAGTGCATTTCCAAATAACGTATTTGGGTGCATCCCTGCGCCATAGCCCCCCCAAGCCCTTCCAGCACTCCGATTCCACCGTCCACCAGGATGTCGGCTGGGTGAGGACAGGAAGGAGGATTTTTGTAGATTTGTCGACCCCCGTGGTCAAGAGTTTAAGCGTGAAACGAGCCCGGCTACCCCCCCCCCAGGGGCATTTCCGTTGCTCTGCTGAGAAGCCCTCCGAATCGCTTGGCTGCCATTTTCAGCCCCATAAACAGATTAAACTCTGGCCATGGCTGTCTGCGAAATAAACAGGTACTGTGCTAATAGTAATAAGAGACGGACGTGGCATTAAAATGCATGATCCTGTATCGATCATTAGAAGTGTGGCTCAGGGACGGGGCTTTAAAAATGAAAGGGGGAGATAGAAGGACCCCCCCCCTCGCTTCATAAACATGCAGCTCGTGCTCTGACTCCACCCGCTGCTGATGTGAAAGTGCCCCGCAGGGTCTGGCGTGATCCGTCCACCCCGACTCCTCTGTATGCTCACATCAGCATCTGCGCTCAACACTGAAGGGTCCGGCTGCTTCTTTGGAGCAAATCCTTTAAAGTTGGGGGGTTTCGACTTTAATTAAACCAAGACCCCCAAAATAGAAGAGAGCAGAGCTACGGACCCCCCTGCCACTGACGCCCGTGGAGGGGGCTTTCATATTCCCCCTTGAAGGTTTTTCATGTTGCGTAAAATGAATGATTGTAGCAACATGTCTTTCCTTTATGATTCATTTCTGTGGAGCTGCAGGTACTCAGTCCAGCATGATGAGGGAGTTTTCAAGTATCCTGTGTTTGATCTGCATCCACTCTGTGATCTTAATAGCTCCTTAAATATTGTCTTTTCATTTTTGATGGCATGGAAACATCAAGTTAGTATTACCAGCCGTTCTGGTGCAGATAATTACTTAAGCCCCGTAAGTGAAACCAATGTCATGTAAGGACCCTTTAGCTGCCCTTGGAAAAAGCCTGAAACCAGTAATAATATATGAGCATCAGTCAAGCCTGAATGACTGAGCTTACAGAGATGGCAGAGGACATGTTGGTTATGGAAGCGATCGTCATCCCAGCAGCTTTGGGCGCTGGGGAGCTACTGTTGTTGTACATTAGATAACAGGAAAAGTGTAAGTGTATCAGTAGGGGGCAGTGTAAACAGATTGGCTTCCAAACGCCTGTAAGTAAGCATGAAATAAGATGAATTTGCTCGCTGTAGCTGAGATGGACACAGATGAAGCCTCGAATATGGCAGGTGTGGCTTTTTGGTGCTGGAGGGGGGGGGCGGGGGTAGGAGCCACATCGCCATGCTGCTGGTCGTCTGGGGGTGCCACACTGCTCTCCTGTGGAGGTGCTCCTCTGGGCAGGCCGATTGTGAGCAGAACGGGGCCGATGTGGTCAGAAAACTCAGGCAGCTGCCTCTGGGTGCATCAGTGCCCCCCCCTCGCAGAGATGAGGCGTACTGTGAATACTAATGCAATTTATTGTCAGAACGGATCAGACGCCTTTCCAAAAGGATGTGGAGCGTGCCATTATCAGGGGGTGGGGTCTCTCTGACTGCCAGGGGGGGGGGGGGTTTCTCCAGCAGACAATGGAGGGGATGCAGGCTTTTTCCGAAAGCAAAGAACCAATCGGGCTTTTCCTGGTGGCCTTTGTTGCTAGGGGTATGGCAGGCAGAATCCACGCGACCCTGATGGAGAGGCATTGTCATATTTTACTCCCTCCCCACAACCCCCCCACATGGATGACTGTCGGCGTCTGGCCGGGTTTGGGTTGCGTCACCGCGGTGCCTAATGCCGCTTAAGCCTGCCTCAAAACGAAGACTTATTGTCTGCCCATCCGGCCTGCCGGGGGGGGGGGGCGAGGGCCCGAGGGGGATCCAGAATCCTAGCCTGTCCGGGGAGAGCCTCCTGACACAAACCTTGGCTTTACGGTGATATGGGGATTCTAGAATGATCCAGGCCACTCTGCACCAGGGCTGAAGCTGGGAGAGTCGCAGATGAGAAGCCAGCCTTTTATACATGTAAACAATCAAGCTACACAGAGTGGGATTTAGGATTATAAACTGGGATAGCACTGGGGATTTGCTGGAGACTGTACTGTTAGTGTTAGTGTTAGGGGGTGTTGGTGGGGTGGCAGTGCTGGTACGGAATCAGGCTGGCGTTCAGGCACACGAACGGGAGAATAATCACGTTTCCTCTCCCTACTCAGCTTCTCCAGGCTGGAGAGGAGGATTACACTTAAAGAGCGGAGTACAGTTTCTATGGATATGCACCATGTGACGTATGTAGCATATATATGCTATGAGACTGTGCCTCCTCTTCACATGTGTATCTCGCACATCTGTGATGTCATTTACAGGAATTCCAAAATCGCCCTTTAATAAGCGGCGTTCCCGACGCGCTCCTGAGGCTGAGGGTTCTGCCCTCGATATGCTGTCAGCCTGAGTGGCACAAGCTGTTCGTGCTGATTTTAGCAAACCACATGCTGTTGGGTGGAGAACCAGTCACACGTTGATCTGGTCCATCAGGGTCATTCTCCATTTTTGCCCTCATCCTCCATCCCTCCATCTCCTCACCTTTTTGTCTTCCTCTGTTTTCAGGAAAGGGAAGTCAAACAATGTCCCGACAGAGGGGGCGAAGCACAGGATCATGGACATGGTATTTACGGCGCTCTTTTAATGCACTTTTTAACGCTCTTCTCACTTATTTAGCACTTTCTGTCACGCAGCAGTGCTGCTGAGCTGCACCTGAGCCGGGCAAACACCCCCCCTCCTGTTCACATCTCCCAGGCACTGCTTACTTTCACATCCAACTGCATGTGACGCTCAGGCTTTTTACAGGATCATCTCACATGTCCATGATGCATGTCACATGACCCCCTGCTCAGGCTGCAATTGGGTCTTTGCAGAGCCGGCTGCGCCAGTCAAAGCTGCGCTCAATCAGCAAATCCGATACCAAGCTGCACCAGATGAACAAACCCAACTGCAATGGCAAGAGTGAGTAGGCAGCCCCATCCTGAGATGGATGGATGGATGGATGGATGGATGGATGCATGGATTGCTCAGATTTCAGAGGTGGTTGATCAGGGAACTAAAAATGCCACAGAAATTATTGAGTACTAAGGAGTCAAGTTGCCACACAGACTTAGAGAAACGCCATTTAAATTACTGAGTAATCAGGAATCAAACTGTCACACAAAATTATGGAAACAATACTGAGTATTCAGGAGTCAAACTGCCACACAGAGTTAGGAAAACACCCCTTAGAGCACTGAATACTCAGGAGTCAAACTGACTGTACACGCAAGTTTTGAGCGGCTCCCCGAGCTATAGATGCAGGACAGTTCAGATGTTCCTTCTCTCCCTCATTCTCTCTCTCTTTCTGTATCTCTCACTCTCTCTCCCTCATGCTCTCTCTTTTTCTCTCTCTCCTCCTCCCTCTCTCTCCCCCTCATATTTCCCTCCTCCCGTATGCTCTTCCTCCCTCTCTCTCTCCCTCTCACTCCACCATGCTCTCTCTCACCCATGCTCTCCCTCTCTTTCTTTCCCTTATACTCTCCCTCTCTCCTCTCTCTCTCTCTCTCTTTCCCTAATGATATCCCTCTCTCTCTTCCCCCTTTCTTCTCTCCACCCCAGGTGCCTCAAAAAGCCGCCCCGCCAGCATGGACCTGCTCCTGCTGCCCAGTCGGCGCCGGCGCTCCAACTCAGACCTGCGCAGTGGCCCGGTCCGCCAGCTGCCACAGATCCCCGCAGGTGGCTCTGGGGATGAACGCGAGCATACCTACTCCGAGGTGGGCCAGCGCTCCTCGCCCGCACGTGGCTGCCCAGATGACGCCCTGTACGAAATGGTGGGGGGGCGGGCCGGAGAGACGGACACGCCCGCTCCGCCGGTGCCCGCCAACACGCCCGCACCACACAGCCCTGAGCACACAGAAGGCATGGACGACATGACTGTGGCCATCGGCGTCGAGGTGCCGCCAGTGCCGGGACCGGGCCCAGACCCGGTGACCGCCGAGTATGCCTGTGTGAGGAAAGTCAGGAAGCCTGACAAACCACAGCGGAAGGACATCGGCGGGGGGGAGCCGGGGGAGAGGGAGCAGCAGCGTCACTCAAATACGGACCTGCACCATGCCCCACCTCCTCCACATCATGCCCCGCCCCCTCCACATCATGCCCCGCCCCCTCCACATCATGCCCCGCCCCCACCACACCCCCACAGCCAGAAGGTCACAAGGAAGAACATAGAGCCCTTCCAGCTGCCCTCCTTCCCTAAGGTGCGTCTCTCGCTCAGAGTCACCGTTATTCTTTCACGTCAAAGCTGATACTAACAGAGAAAGGGGTATAGTGTGGGCGGTGCCCACAGGGGGAGGTTTCCATCAAGCATACACCAGTGCAGAGATTTTATGTTTTAGCTGCTCTGGGTTTTAGCAGCACCAAAGCTCTTTGATCCCGCAGTCTTATCGGGCCGGGTCCCAAACGGGCGTGACGTCACGGGCGAGCGTGTTGAGGGACTCTGTGCCTTGTAGGGTTCCTGCGATGCCCGCACATTAATATGTGTCTAACCTATAGCAGAGCTGCGGTGGTGAGCTTAAGCCTGAGTGACAGCACTGCCTGGATGCATTTAACGCTCGCTCAGTGCTTCGAGCTCCGAGCCGTGTCTGCGGGAATGATGCAATCCGCTGAAACGGAGATTTCACCCCCACACAAAACAAATGTGTGGAAAACAGTTCTTTTGATAGCGCTGTTTGCGCCTTGAACATCAGCATCAAATCTCCACAAAAAGACAATAAAGATCAGCGGGCCAGACCGCCATATGCTTTAATGTGTTGCTTCCTGGAGATGGTGGTTATTTTTCTTTGGGGTTCCTTTACAGTCAATAGGTGTGGCATCCTTCTGCCTGTGTTGATGAAGCTGATAACACAGGTCACAGTAAAACATGCGAATATGACTGCAATTATAAATCAGGATTTTTCTACTATAAATGACCGCCAGAGGGCACCAAACACCAAAGCGTACTCTCTCTGCGGCGCAACGGGACTCAAAAGACACACAGTCACGAGTAATGATGACTGAATGTTATCATTAGCAGATTTAGACAGATGGTGGATCATCACACTTCTGTTCAGTATCTGTTCAGTGTCTTTGCCAGGATCAGTTTTTCTAATGTTAAACCCAGACAAAGAAGATGTAATGAGATTAAGGGCTGGTGGTGTGAGGTGGTGTTTGGCTCAGCAGATTAGAGTGCTGTACCTGTAAAAAGTCACTGGTTAAAATCTTAGAGTCAGCAAAGTGATGTTAACTTAGGGCTCCTCAGCAAGCCCCCTAACCCCCAATTGCTCCAGGGCATAGTCGACTCTGTTTTCTCAATCGTACATCTTTTTGGACAAAAGTAACTGCTAAATAAATTAAATGAAAATATACGACTTTTTATCTAAGCACAGCTCTTCCAGTTTAAATGGAAGCAGTTTCTTGGAGAGGAGTTAACGCTATTGAAGGATCCAGGTGTTTATCATGTGCTAATTCAAATGCTCTTAGACATCTAAAGCAGTGATAAGTTACATCAGGTCCTGCAGCGGGGATTGACTGCTATAGTAGGGAGGGAAAGCATGTGATTCGTTGTGTGGCACCTCTAGGCTGTAGTGATAGGCGAAGTGACTCTTCATTGAGACACAGTTTGTTTGATTCACTTCACCTAAACACCAACTCGTTCAGTGGCACTTCCTGCATAAAATAGATCTGAAACACTTGTCTTCCGATATGTCCAAAAATGTCTTATTATTCTTATTATTTATCCTAAATAGTGCTAAGTAGTAAATGAAATCAAATACCACCAAAAAGTCATGTGAGAAAAAAAAATGCATTATTGCTTTATAGTTGTATTTGTTAAAAACGCAAACCTAAGAGCTCATCACAAAGTCAAATAAGTACTGTAGTCCAAATGCTAACAAACCTTTGGTTAAAATCATTTCAAGTTGTGAAAATATTGCACCTCTAAAATCCGTTTGTGGCAAACGGGAAGTCACTGCGCATGTAGGCTATGTACTACACCAGTAGATGGTGTATTTCAGTCATGACCGAGGTACAGCTCTCTGGTTCACAAGCTCGCTCACCAACTCATTCACTCCTTCAGGTCTCTCCTTCATAACTAAACTAGAGACTCACGTTCATTCATGAACTGTAGGCATTCAGTCCCAGGTTTAGTTTCCAGCCAATAATACGCTCCCTTATAGCATGCCCCCTTACGTGCCTCACTGGCTTTCATTCACCATAGTCAAGGAGGGAAGCAACATTAACATCATATTTCTAAGGACAAGCGGAAGAATCAATCTTTGCAGGGAGGTGAATGTGAGTGTGTAGTTCCTGTGAGGCACTCGTTCAAAGACCTTCACACAGTGCAGCCCAAGGAACAGACGTCCACTGATGACGTCTGAATCACTCACGTTCTGGGATGTCCTGACTGCCATAGGATATTCCCAAGGCCTAAAGTAGATGATTAAAAAATCAGTGATTCAGTTCGTGAGAAATAATGTGCAAATACCATATAGCTGTACGTTTAAAAGAATAGAATATTCCAGTAAGCAGTGTGGAAGTTATACATTTATTAAGCAAACAATTTTATCCAAAGAGACAAATGTTTTTGAAAAAGCATGGTGAATGGTGAAATGAGTGAGGCAGTGGAGAGAAAGAGCACTGATTTAAATTTTAATTTTCTGAAATCTAAATTTTATGTAACTGAAATTCTAAATGTCAGCAAAGGAGAGAGTATCGCTAGTTGTTTTCGCAGAAATACTGTACCATCACCCCACAGAGAAACCATGCCACCCCCTCCCACAGAGAAACCTTACCATCCCCACCCCCACAGAGAAACCATACCACTGCCCCCAAGGAGAAGCTGTATCACCCCCCATAGAGAAACCGTACAACCCCCCCCCCACAGGGAAATCATACTATACCGCCCCGAGGAGAAACCTTACCATCCCCCCCACAGAGAAACTGTATTATACCATCCCAACCCTAACCCTAACCCTAACCCTAACCCCCTAAAGCTGTATTAATCGAATTGTGTCTGTGCTGTGTGAATGTGGTCTAACGAGAGTCAGATGCTTTGTACACATGGTCTCTCTGCCTTCTTGCCACCAGGAGGCGGTGTTCATGGGGAACGGGGAGGAGTACATATGGAAGCCCCCTGAGGAGGACGACCTCAGCATGTTCCAGGCCAAGCCCCCATGCCCCTTAAAGCCCGGTAACGCGGAGGGCGGGGGCCCTCAGATGCACTCCGTGGCAGTGGGGGTGAGTGCCGGGGGTGTGTGTACAGTATGTGAAGCTGTTGTTGCGACCTTGATGACCCTCACAGGTGTGATGCTCATTTAGCATGCAGTCTACATATCTGAATAGTCTTTGAAACATTAAATAAAATTGCACTGAGCTCAACAGCTACTATAAGGACACCTGCATACAATTAGTCATTATCTGGGACTTTCAGGTACGAAGGAGACATACCTTCCAGGCATTTAGGTTCTTCAGCTCCATCCCCGACAGACGGGTCCCTGACATATTTCTCTCTCCTGCACCTGACCAGGTCCCTGAAGTCTACTCAAAACCTGGGAAACCCCTTAAGAAGAAGCGACCCATGCCTGGTTCTCCACCATCCAGGGACAGCAGCGGGCAGCGGACGCTGGCCAGGGAGGGCTGCTCGGCCGGCTTCAGCGTGGTGGTCAAACCCCAGTTGTGGGCGACAGGCGGCTGCCAGCAGGACGGTCGGGTGGCACCCCCACCTGAGGACCCTTGCTATGAGGCCATCAGCGAGAAGCCGTGGCCAGCAAGGGCTGGGTCCATGGAAGAGTTGGACTCCGCCTATGAGGCCGTGGACACCGCCTGGAAGCAGGAGCGGCCCCCCAACGCCACGCTGAAGCCGAGGAAGAAGAAGGCGCTGCTGCCTCCACAAGGGCTGCCCGTCAAGGCCCCCCCGAACGAGGCCCTGTACGACGGCATCAGCAACGTGCGCCAGGGCGTGCCCAGCTGCAGCACCACCACCATCTTCACCTTCAACGACGGCATGGAGATGTACGTCACAGGCCTGTAGGGGCCCCGTGCCCCTGCAGCCCCACATTGCCCCTTTGGAAAACGAGCACATGGTAGGTGCCAGTCTGGCCACCAGCAGGGGGCGCCGCTGCAAAGAGACTCTCCCACTGTGAAGCCCCCTAGTGATCCAGAGTGACGTCCCTGGTAGGCAGGTGGGTGGCTGGGTGGTGGGCAGAGAGAGCAGCGCTGCAGAACTTTACACAGCCACCCTCCCGCCTCCACTTACACATTCATGCATCGTGTAAAGACTCATCCATGTGGCCTCTGTGTCTATCTGTTTTTCCCTCAACACCCATACACATAGCTGTGCACACTTACACACGTGCGCACAGTTCAAAACCTTCAAGATGGCTGGTAAGCACATACACAGAAAGCTGTTGCAAAAAAACCCAACTCTTAAAAAATATATGCAAGACTCACCTGTAGGTCAAATATTCCATTAATGTTAATGATTGTCCCACAGAACTCCACAGCACTCAGCAAAATGCAGTGACTTTTCCATTTATGCCGATGGATGCAGACACAGAGTCTCGGATAAAGAGGCAGCTGACCTCACAAACACACCTGGAAAAGCTGCTTAGACACAAATAACAAACAGACTGGAAAATCCCCAAATTTCACTGAAACTTTCAAGTTACAAGGCTAAAAACTGCAGGATTTAAAAAAATGTATTATGATATTTATGACTCATAACACATATTACGAACTAACACCAAGGTCACATTCTAAAGTTTAAGGCTTGAAACAAAAATAACTATTAAAACAAACAACCGGTGGATATCACATTCCGTCATCCTGATCTGAATGAAAAATATTTTAAGTTAATGGAGCTATGGCACCAGCAAAGCACCTACTGGGTTTTGTGGCATTTTGCTGGAGCCATGTGACCTTTCACACAAAGTAGGGGGGATGGACACACCTATTGGGCACACTAGCACTGTGCTGGGTAAGGGTCCAGTCAGCCATCGTCATTCCTGAGAATCGTCTGCGTTCACTGGCATTTTTGAAAGGTCAAGAGGTTGCATTTTGGAAGGTCGCCTGATCAATTGTACATCAATTGTGTACAGACACCTAAAAGTGTCTGTGAAATAAATAAAAATATATATGTCCAGAGATTATGGGTTAGAATGCTTCATCTAGATAATACGGTCTTGTTCTTTCGAGTGACATAGTAAGGATCGGTCACGCAAATCTGACTTGGTTTTGTTGCAAGGACACACACAGCAAGCACAGAGACAGATGACTGTGGAAGGACTTCAGAACAAAACAAATGAATTGGTTGCTTATATTATCGATAGAAATTGTTGAACAGCTTTCTGTAGGCGGTGCTGGTCAACCCATTAGGTGGCCGTGTAGGACACCATCTTCTGGGGGTGCTGACAGCCAGCCAATTTTACTTGGAAGAGGACAGAGGCGATATAGGTGAAGCTCACCTAGGTGTCACATGGGTTTGGACCAGTACTGCCTGTAAGCTTGCTGGAGTCCCTGGGCCTCAGGCTATCCTGTACAGAGCAGAAATTATCTTTGAAACACCAGAAAAAAACACCAAATATATATTTTAAAAATTACTGAAATTGATTTTAAAAGGTAGCTCAGGGAAAGAGGGAAATATATTGTTTAGGAATAATTGATGAATTTTCAATAGATTCCTCCAGAACTCACAAAGGGAACTCTGTGGGGGAAAAATTAAAGTTGCTTTACTCATGTCAATCATGTACACATTACTGGTGGTCATAAATGCATTGTATTTTTAAAAGCACTGCTTTTTCTTAGCACATCATACACACCACAAGGTACTACACAGACGCTAGGTCACTGCCATTCGTACGTGTTTCTTTCGGTGACGCCATTGATGCAATTTGCATGCTTCCAAGATGCATGCTTTTGAAAACCCTGTAAGTGGTGGAAATGTTTTATTTGCTGCTGTTGTAACATATGCGTTCCTGTTTTCCGGTTCGTTTGTTTTCGTCAAAGAGCACAATGTTTAGAAATTGGATTACGATCTTGTCGGGTGTTTGGTATTTCTGCATGGCCCAGGCTTCTGTCTGCCTAACCGGAAGAGTGGCAATTCCAGCTATGTGGGGCAGCAAGTCTTATCTCCTGCCCGAAGGCTGAGGAACCGAAAGGGTGTTCACCCTTCCACTCTGGCCCACCCAGGAATTCTACGGTCCACTGAGATAAAGTACAACGTAGCACTGGCTGGACTTGTCCCGCACTGATTAGCGGCAGCCGCAAAATCTCTCATGGGTCCGGATCCAAGGAGTCGTAAGTCGGACACGCAGCATTTAAGACGGCAGAGCTTGGTGGAAACGGCCATACGTCAGTTTACATCTTTTTCTGCGTGAAGCGAAAAGGGTCAGTGCGTGCAGCAATGGCAAAGAGACAAGCCGAACCACAAGACCAAATCTCCTTCACTGCATCCAAGAGGTCGGCACACGTTGTGCTACTTTGTTGATCCAATGTGTATAGGCTACATGTCACAAAAGAAAATAATAATATCCTCGATGTTTTTAGAGAAAAAAAAAAAGATTTCCCTTTCTCGTTTTGTGTCGGGAATGACTACGGCTCAGATTTCAACAGTTATGATGTGAATTCTAATCACGTGTTTGGTTTTCCGTTCTCATAAAGTCTGATATAATTCATGTCAATTAAAATCCAGATTAATTTAGTGTGGCAGCTACATTGTATGTTTGCTAAACAATAACAGGGTTGTATGTTATTAAGTGCTAATGTGCAAAAGATTGTAATGTTTTTTATCAAAATTATTCATAACAATGTTAAAGTGAAGTTTATACTTTTGTAATAAAGAAGCCTCTTAAAATAGATATTGTTTCCGGTTTTCTTTCCCGAAAGTATGGTGACAGATCACTAGTAAAGGTTAATCATCAAATACATCTTATTATCCCATTTTAATACATACAGACTGAGAATAAAGATTGTTAGAAAAAACAACGTGTTTCGACTTTAAAGGCAAATAAGCCTTAATGTTACATTTAGCTGGCAGTGTCACAGGCGCAGTGACACTCCCCCAGCAAGGCGGCGCAGCGCTCGCGCCCGTCATGGTTTCCTTCCGCCTGTTTCTTCCACATCTCAGAAGACCGGATACAAGCAAAGTAATCGACCAAATATGTGCTAAGTAAACTGTGTTTTTATTATGCATAATAGCGGGGAATTAAATTTGTTATGTGTCGAAAGTAAAATGGGTTTTAATTTGAATATTCAGTTTTTGAAGCTTTCTGTTTTGACTCCAAATATTGTTTGCCGATAATAAACAATAAACCAACATTCAACTGAAAAACACCTCTACAGTTCACTACAGTAAACAAAATTCCAGTAAACTGAGATGTCAAGTAGTCTTTTACTGGTTAAAAACTACTGTGTGAGCCCGCGTTAAACACTTCAAACAGGTTTTATTTTGAGCAACCTGACAGTGTCCTCGCCTCAAGAGGCTATAACCCCGTATCAATATGTTCTTTGCTTGCCGGGGTTTATGTACTTCACTAAGAAAAAAGACCAATTTCCTGACAGCTAGTACACTACAGAGCTCCATTAGGTTTGTTTTACCACTAAACCTGCCGGCAGAATTTCTGTCAAAGTATGACGTTCTCTAAACATACCAATCAACGAAGGCCCACGAGTGGCCACGTGCCAGAATGTTATGTTTATGTATTGAATGAGCCAATCGGAGCAGCAGCGGCTGGGCTAGCGGATGCTGCCTGGTCCGGCTTGAGTTCGAGGAGCTTGGGGGGTTGGATGCTGTGTAACATATTTATGAGACAAAAAATGTCACTACCAAAGCATATATTCTGTTATGTCCTCTGGAAGCGCATAAGTTTTGCGAAACGATTCGTTTAAATGGCAACAAAAATGTCGCTTTTGTCACAGTGTTACTAACATCTCGCTCGGTCTTGATCATTTTTGCCTTAGCGCTGTTCTTCTGATCATGACTTCGACACCAAGCTGTAGCCCGGTATCGGCTGGGATGGCAACCTCCGAGAGTACCCGCGGTTTACCCGCGGTTTACAGCGCCATGCATGCCCCGGACCGCGGGGCAGCAGCTCACGGACAGCCCGCCGAGGGCTCGTGTGAACTTCCTCTGGATAACAGTCCTATACGGAGTCATTACAATCAAGAACATGGCAAGCAAATTTTGGATGAAGCGAAATGGAAAATCACGCATGATGTGACAAATGTAAGTAAAGGATTGCCATGCAAAGCATTAGCTTTGTGAGCGTGCAATGAGCGAGCTGCGGCGCGCGGGTGGCGTCCCCTCAGCTTTCGAATGCATAGTGACTCGGATACTTTATAATATTTACTTTCCGAAATTCGAACACTAGTATGTTTTCGAAATATTATAATTGTTATTGTTGTTTGTAGTCTGTTGTCATACTTAAGTTGTGTTTTGATTACTTTGTCACTGTCATGTACGTATTACTAAATGTGGGATCACTTATTTTGTAACTCAACCTTTTAAATTATTCCGGTACGTTGAAAGGACGTTTTCAGACGTTTAGTATAGGCCTAAATTAAATTGTTCTTATTAACTTAACATTAATATGAAAATAAACATGAAACGTTAAAACTTTCAAATAGACAGTCTATGAGGGGGAGTCACAATGCTTCCGTATTCGTTAAATTGCTAAATTAGGGCTGCTTATCGGCCCTCCTGCGTCCCCTAACTGCCTCACGGTTCCTGCAGTCCGTCCCGTCCCCCGTTACTTGGTGATTCCATCTAATCTGTACCATTTGCATGTCATAAAACATAAAAACTAAATTTCATTTTTTCATCTTTTTCAACATTGAATCTAATAACACGTATATTTAACTATTCAAGATATGCACTTGGTCAGTCTGAGGTAGGCTAGCTCTAATAATTTTTTTTTCAAGGTTTTTAAGTGGAAGAAGATTGCCTTTATCTCAATCATGTTACCAAAACCTCAAGCAATCATATCAACTAATTCTTTTGTGTTCCCCTCAATAAAGTGTTTATTTTAAAGAAATGATTGGTTATATGTTCGAATATATGTTAGTCATAAAAAGAGAAAAGTACAACTTGCATTTGAAAAAAATCACTATATATATGCATGCAAGTTGTACTTTTCTCTTTTTATGACTAACAGGACTGAACAGTACTGAGTTTTATCATAACATTAGCTAATTCTTGAAACATAGCCACATGTCATCAAACTTAATAGCTAAAACCTAATAACACTGAGTACATTCAAGTGACATCAAAAATGTATTTTTAAATAAATAAAAATAATGAGATATAATTTTGGTAGCAGGACTGAGAGTTGAGTTCAACCTCCACAGACATTCTTAAAATATCATCATAATATAGAAGTGAAAGTGAGAGAATTTACTTTGCAATTGAGATCATCCAGACGTTCCAGCTGAACACGCCACGTGGAATCTGCCAAATATTTTTGGGGCAGAAATGTATAGCATGGTAACAACAGGACTTAGTGAAAACCTGGGGACATGACTCAAATGTGTATTTTAACTAGCATGATATTGTTGTACTAAAAGGAAAATATATGAATTGGAAATACTGTCACATGAAAATACCAAAAATAAGATTTTTGAAGGTTTTTTAATAAGATTTTTTAATCGTTATATTTCTTGGAGGAGTGTAGCAATAGAGCAGGGACAGGTGACCTTCTTCTAGCTAGTTTTCATTAATGTTTTACATTATGTTAGTTAAATTAGCAGTGAGGACATTGTCGAGGACACGTTTCTTGATAATAATATGTATTATAACAGAAATGGCATTGATGAAGCTCCCCTGGTTCATACTGTCCGTACCAGTCCCCCGTTCCTGCAGTTTATAACAGCCCCTTGGTTCCTGCAGTACATAACAACCCCCCGGGCCCTGCAGTCTATCACCAGTTCCTCATTCCTGTACCTGCAGTCAGTTCCAGTCCCCCATTTCTGCAGCTCATAACACCCTTCCAGTTCATGCAGTCCATACCAATCCCCCATTTCTGCAGCTCATAACACCCTTCCAGTTCATGCAGTCCATACCAATCCCCCATTTCTGCAGCCCAAAATGCCCTTACCTGTCCTTACCAGTTCGCGTTCCTGCTGCCCGTAATGACCACCTTGTTCCTCTAGTCCAGGGGTCTCCAACTCCGGTCCTGGAGAGCTACCATCCAGTGGTTTTATATCATACCCAGCTTCTGATGAGCCACACCTGTTCTCAGGTAAATACCAGGAACAGGTGTGGCTCATCAGAAGCCAAGTGGGACAGAAAACCTACTGGATAGTAGCTCTCCAGGACCGGAGTTGGAGACCCCTGCTGTAATTCATATCAGTTCCCCCGTTCCTGCAGCCCGTTCCTGCAGCCCGTTCCAGTTCCCCACTTTCTGCAGTACATTGCGTCCCCCTGGTTCCTGCCGTCCATACTAGTAACACTCCCCTCTTTCCTGCAGTTTATACTAGTCCCCCCTTCTTGCAGCGCGTAACGCTCCCCCCATTCCTGCAGTGTGTAACAGCCCCCCAGTTCCTGCAGTCTGTACCAGTCCCCTGTTCTTGCAGCCCATAACGGCCCCCCAGTTCCTGCAGTCCAAATTAGTCCCCCGTTGTAGGAGCTCATAATGGCCACCTCGTTCCTGCAGCCCGTACCAGTCCCCTGGTTCCTGCAGCCCGTACCATTCCCCCCGGTTCCTGCAGCCCGTACCATTCCCCCGGTTCCTGCAGCCCGTACCATTCCCCCTGGTTCCTGCAGCCCGTACCATTCCCCCGGTTCCTGCAGCCCGTACCATTCCCCCGGTTCCTGCAGCCTGTACCATTCCCCCGGTTCCTGCAGCCTGTACCATTCCCCGGTTCCTGCAGCCCGTACCAGTCCCCCGGTTCTTGCAGCCCGTACCATTCCCCCGGTTCCTGCAGCCTGTACCATTTCCCCGGTTCCTGCAGCCCGTACCAGTCCCCCGATTCCTGCAGCCCGTACCAGTCCCCCGGTTCCTGCAGCCCGTACCATTTCCCTGGTTCCTGCAGCCCGTACCAGTCCCCCGGTTCCTGCAGCCCGTACCATTTCCCTGGTTCCTGCAGCCCGTACCAGTCCCCCGGTTCCTGCAGCCCATACCATTCCCCCAGTTCCTGCAGCCCATACCATTCCTCCGGTTCTTGCAGCCTGTACCAGTACCCCGGTTCCTGCAGCCCATACCATTTCCCCGGTTCCTGCAGCCCATACCATTCCCCTGGTTCCTGCAGCCCATACCATTCCTCCGGTTCTTGCAGCCTGTACCAGTACCCCGGTTCCTGCAGCCCATACCATTTCCCCGGTTCCTGCAGCCCGTACCAGTCCCCCAGTTCTTGCAGCCTGTACCAGTCCCCCGGTTTCTGCAGTCCGTACCCATCCCCCATTTCATAAAGGCCCTGTGCCCAAATTATCATCGGAAGTCATGAAAAATACTGCATAAATCCTTACTTCATGTGAAATAATATTGAGAATACTGACTTCTGTCAATTTTTCTGGGTTACCCTACTGTAGCTTTAATTGGCCTCAAATGCATCCGTTACATATCTGGCTTAAATAAACAGGTACAACTATAAGATGACATTGATCAAAGCATGATTCTGTCAGTGTCTCTGTGGCCCAGGGAAATACCAACCTGCTTGATCATACTCCTGATGATTGTATTCATTATACATCAATCCATCCATGTCCCAGCCTCCTGTTTAGGGTTTCATGGAGCAGGGCCATGCTTGGAGCAATGCTGTTTTCATGATCAGTATCTCAGATGCCATCCACTGTTCTTCAACAACACTGTCCATTTCAGAGCACGTCTATGCCATACTGTTTACATCCCTAATTGCCAGAGCAGACACAGTTGCACCATCATCAACTCTCGCTATAATTTCCTTTTTAAGTTCTACAGTTACTCTCACTTCTTTCCTCTTTGGTTTGCTGCTATCACTGCTGGGCCATGCATGATTACTGTATCACTAAATGTACTGTAGATAAAGCACAAAAAATTCACACTGAACACAGGAACACGGCTTTTGCTTGGTGGAGAGGTACCATAAGACTGGGAGCGATTCATAGGCATAAGCATCCCAGTAAGTCCGTTTGCCTTTGTTTCAGCCCATCAGAGATCCGTACAAGTTTTAGCAGGTCTGTTTTGTTTTGACATGTTTTCAGTCGAGTTGCGGTTAGATTTTTCTCAACCGACCCGTTCAAGGTCCGTATTGGTAGCAGGAACGGTTGAGTTCCACGATTTTGGTCGAGGTTCAGGTCGGGGGAAAAAAAATGTAACGGCCTCGTTCGACGTCTGAGTCGGTCGAGTTGAGAGGCATACGAGTTCCAAGGTGCCACTGTATTTGAATAAATCACAGCCTCATGGATCTATGGTAACTTTATGCAGGTCTGCAAACACTAAAGGCACGTAGGGTGACTGCTCTGGTCTTTTGTTCTGCCTAATTCTCTAGAATAGGACCTGTGAAGTATTTCAAAGTGCACGCATTGCTGACATGCTGTCAGATTTCATGGTTGCCAGGTCTAAAGCTGAGCAGTATCTAGTTATCCATCTGAATGCAGATGTGAACTATTTCCTACAAGCTGCAGAGTTGCACTTGACTGATGCTAGTATACAAAGGTCCTGCTGTCTGCTAGGCCTCACACTGCTCTTTGATTTCAGATGCAGAGCTCTGTCATGGGCAAAAAGGACCCAGCCAATAGCAGCCCTAGGATGTGCCTGACTGTGAATGACAGGAAGAAGGCCGACCGGCTCACCCCAAAGGATTCATCGTGGCTCCCATGCAAAGATGAGATTAGCTCACATGGGCTTTGGGACACCTCAACACACATCCCCGTCCCTCCTCCGCCCAGGTATGGCCTGCAAGGTTTCACTCAGCGTTGCTTTATTTGTCTTCAGATAGACAGAATCCAGAGCAGACAGCGAGATGCACAAGTTATAGTACCAATCACTTTGTAAATGTGTTGCTCTTAAAAGAAGGGGTAGCTTGTGATCTTCCCAGCTATGTCCAAGATCTCCCAAACCAGGATCCACAGTCAGCAGAGTGTGCTGGCATCACGTAAACACTGATATACACTTCTGCGTTGAGCCTGCGCTGTGATCTACACTGTGGCCTACGCTGTTGCAAACATTTGTACTTTGTGAACTGTTGTATCTGTGTCGCTCTGCAATTAGACCGCCAAAACACTAGGTGGTACATAGTTTTTGATGTTGCATTTATTGTCTTCCCACCCTGCAATACATTAAATTGTTGAATCACATGATTGAACTGGAAAAAAAAACACTGGAGCCACTACAAAGTCACTTTTTAGTGCATTTTCCCTTCTAAAGTTAGTGTCTTTGCTACTTACTTTATTTACTCTTGTAAAGTACAAATAAAAAAAAAAGGTAAGTGAAATTGGACTTCTGTAGATCTGTTGCTTTGATGCCTTGGATGATGCTAGATATAAATAGCACTTCAGTTTCAGTCAGTGATATAAGCATACTTGGGATGTATGCTATCTTCGCACTCATGAAGAAACAAATGCTAACAAGTAGAGCAATCGCAGTTCTTGCGGTCTGCATCGCTGTGACGTGTAGTTGCATTTCTGGGGACGTGCACATCGGGCTATGGTGTAGGCTTCGGCGTAGGGTCCACAGCTATGCTATACTTATGCCATTGATTCGACGCTGAAGAATAAATCAGTCTTAAGCATGCCACTGTTAGCTGCTGTCTTCCTTGTTGTTTGGTTTCCTCGAAGTCCAGTCATTGAGATCTAACGCCTTTGTCTTCCCAAGATGTCTAAGGTGAATGACAGTGAATGTTTGGCACACACTGGTTGAAAGTGTCTTCCACTTACTCTGAGAGTGACGTATTACTGTTGATTTGGGCTCCCTGACCAACAGAACCTTTCTAGAAATCAGCTCAGGTTGCTCTCACAGGCTTCCTTAAATGTTCTAGAAGCCGTGTGCTCCCATGGTTCATGCGCATGGCATGTGTACTGGTTTTGATATTTCCCCCTTTCTCAAAACTCAATATAATAGGTACTTCATGAGTGTGACCCCTGCCTTGCTTGTGGGCTTTTAACCATCTCTCCAGCTGGTCATTGACCCTGGTTGTTTCCTGGAGGTTTTTAAATTTCTCTGGTTTTTCTTCAGCACAAGTTGTCATCGAAACATCAGATTTATTTTGTAATAAAAAGTTTAATTGTAGAAGAAGCAGTTTTTAAAGGAAGGTTTTAGTGAATACCTGCAATATGAATTAAAAGAGTGGCTATCTGATGGGCAGGTGTTTATAGCTGTGTGCTTGGTCTCTTGCGGGTTGCTTTGCGTCAGCAGTGGGCCCCTGTGAAAGCTGCTTCTCTCCCGATATGAGTGTTTTTGCAGAATCGCCTGGGAATGTCCAGCCCGCAGGCCAATATCTAGCGTCTGCCCTGCAAGATGGGCTTTTGGGACTGTCAGCTGTGGCTATGAGGGGAAGACAGCCTGCGGTTTCCATGGTAATGACCAATTACGTGTGTCTCATTTGACATGGTGACCCAAATAAGCAGAGGCATCACAGAGAGCAGAGTGTCCATGGGGCGGTAGCATGTGTCAGAGTGATACGTGGGTTGATGGCCTGTGTCATCCGATCGTATTACTGAGTGACAGGCAGATGGACCAATCAGGTGACTAGATGATTGACCCTCCTGGGGTGTGCGCAGCAGCTTATGATGAAGGACTCCATTTCGCTGTGAATCTGAGTGTTGTGATTGGACGACCATTCATTCTGGGCATTCAGTGGTAGATGAGTCTTCTCTCCGTTTCTTCCAAGTGTCCTGTGACTTTTCTTTCATCTCCCTGTGATGTGTTGGAGTACCACTTGGAACAAGCTGGTTTCAGCCTTCAGTGGATCCGAGCCAGTAAGGTTCTGTGTGCTGCTGATCGTGACCTGACCACTGCGCTTCTCTGTCTTTCGGCGGCTGGGCTTCACAACATGAGGGTCGCACGTATAACAGTGGCAAGCACCGCCATCATCTTCAGCCGTGGCTGGGAGCTGCAGGTATTTTCTGTCATGCGCTCTCATCTCCCCTTCCGCGTCACCAGCTTTGTGGCGAAACAAAAACAGGATATGAAAAAAAATCACTGTGATAAAAATATCGCTCACAGTGTCAGTTATGGTTGTATATGACTATGCAAAACGGATATATCGGTGTTCGTATGTGTGTGCAGTGTGACTGTTGGCTGGTGCTTTAAACCTCTGCTTTCTGGGTGCCAGCATCTCACACACACCGCTTTGAGGAACAGCAGCTTTGCTTATATCCCCCCATTGCTGGACAATGAAATTGCACTGAGCAAATTACCGGTGCAACTGACAGGAGGGGTGGAGTGTTAGAAGAAGGTGCGTGTTAAGCTGCCACTGTGTTTGTCTCATGTGGTTTCTGGAGTGTGTGGAGTGGCAGGGGGTGTATTTATCTGGCGTTTTTATCAACTGTCAGCCAACAGAGTGAACTTTCGACATGTGATATAAGACCCCATGTATACGAGGCTTGGGGTTGCCATTAACCATCAGGCTATTCTGAAATGTTTGATTGGCCATTTTTGGGCAAGCCCCCCCTAATAAAATAAGGCTAGTGCAGGTTTTGTCCGGGGCGGCCCAGAAGCTTCCATGGTGAAGCCTGGACACTGCCTCTGTCACCGATCAACCTAAGGCTCAGAGGGGTTGGGGCTGTTTTGAGGGGGGGTTTCACCTCTCTCTTGCTAAGGGGCCTAGCTGGTCACCAAGGTTGCCTCGAGCCAATGGCTACAGAGGGGAACAGGCAGGTTGATTGACTGGAAAGTCAGTGCAGCTCCCCCCAGCCTGCACTAAATGTGTTTCTATTGAGCCATTGGGCTCAATCGTCCAGACAACCCCATACAAAATATTTTGTAATAAAATTTACAAGTAATGTAAAGTGCATGTAATAAAAAAAATAATAATTGTGTTATCCCGAGCTTTTTCTGAGTTTCAGCTAGTTTGGAGTTAGCGATAATATTTTTCATATTAAAATTACTTTCATCGTGTAGCCTGCACAATGTGTCTGTGTGTCTGGTTGTGTGTGTTGTGTCTTTTTGTGTGTTGTGTGTGTGTGCGTGTGGGGGGGGGGGGGATTCAGAGAATGACGTGCTGGGGTATGGGCTACTGGTCCAGGCTAAGGACTCCTCCTCAGTGATTGGCCGCTTCTCTGTCCTGTGACTTTGAATGAAGCTTGACGTGCTGATATGCTTGTTGTACAGCCTCCCACCGTCTGCTTCATTGGTGACAACGCAGAAGCCTCCGAGACCATCTGCTGGCATGTGCATGTATGAAAACACACATGCATGTATCTGTGCTCTGTTTGCCTCTCTTCCCACGCTCACATCGTCACACATTAGCACAAGCAGATGGCAGCACATGCTTTCACACACTCACACAGCGGGAACGGCGGCTCACACTCAGGCCCCCTCCCATGCTGGCCTCCCTGAGGCTGTGCCCCCCCAGCACCCCAGTCCTTGTGTCACTGTTTTGGGTCAGAAAGACAGCCAGCATGACAGGCCCCTCTTTTTGGCTGCATATGTGTGTGTGTGCATGTGCCTGCCCGTTTATCTGTTTGTATCTGTGTGTACAAATGTATTTACATATGTTCTGTGTGCCCACACGTTTACATATGTGTGTATGGGTCCATGTGCCTGCTCATTTACGTGTGTGTGTGTGTCTGTGTGAGTGTGTGTCAGTGCAAGCCTGCATGTTTCAATGAAGGGGAAAAAAATGTAGGTCACCTCAAAACAAAACTTTCAGTCAGCATGGCAACTGTCTGCGCTTTGATTGGTGGGCCAGTTACCATGGTTACAGTTTAACCTTGAGGCTCCGTGAAACTTTCAAAGTGTGTAGTGTTTCTATGGTAACTCAGCGGAGCACGGTGCTGTGGAGGACATGGTCCGAGTCCGAGGTGCAGCCCAGTGCATTGCAGATCCTCAGGATAAGCGGGTGGGGTGGCGCATTTCCCTCCTTGTTTGCCTGTAAATTCAGGCCATGGGTCAGTGCCTTCATGTCCTCCTGCCTTTATTTTGTTAATGTCTGCTGCTCAATCGCCGAAACTGAAATGCTAGCGGCTGGGAGATATATCTAATTATTATCTTACATTTAATACATTTTTACATACAAAATGACTTGATAATGTATTGTTATATCGATTATAATTATTGTAAATGTAGACAATATGGTTTGCCATAAAATGGCAGGCTGAACAGATTGGACAGTGGCAGAAAAAGTAACATGATAATGTGCGCATGGGCAGTGCCAGAAAATGTAACGTGGTATACGCATGCTCAAAAATACTGTACATACGCAGACGCGCAACATACAAATCAGGCAGGTGGTACGGATCGGGGATTGGGTAGTGGCAAACCCCACCCCCAAAGCCCCGCCCACCCACACAGTGTCATGAAGAAGCCAGATAGTGAAACGCAAAGGAAAAGAAGTATTGCAAAGTGCAACACACATGCCGTAAGGAAAAATGAGTGCCAAAAAAAGCAAAACGCAAGGAAAAAAAAAAAGTACATACAGTATCTTCTAATACAATTCATCAGTTTGTTTGCAATGTATATACGTGCTTTTGTTTACAGTAAACACATTTGTTTGCAATGCTGTGTAGTCGTAATTTGACTATACATTTAATTTTTGAATGATCCGGTTCTTAAGTTCTTGAAATATCTTTTTTATACATTTAATTTTTTTCCATCATTTTCCCCCCCTCTGGAGCTTTATGTCTATATTCGATATGAAATTCTGAGATGTATTTTAGAGAAGTATTTTAGAAAAATGTCAATAATATCGATGTATATTGAATATCGATAAGGTGACCTAAAATACCGAGATATCATTTTTCAGCCATATTGTCCAGCCCATATTGATGGTCACCTCTGCTATCGCAAGCCCTGTGTGACATGGGAGCCTTACATCTGTCTGCAAGCAGAACAGCGGCATGCTGGGCCCCACCGAGCATCATCATAATACAATCTGAAGGGACATGACATTACGGAGCTGCCTCCGCTGAAGTCTGGCCACTTGGCGTTCCGGTCACTCTGGGTGACACAAAGGCACCATCCCGTCCGTCCCGGAACCCCTGTCCATACACTGAGTGCTGTGAGATAAGTCCCTTATCAGCTGACATAGGCGGGGTGTGTCAGGGGAGAGGGTCAGTAGGCCACGATGACCTTTTGGCTCCAGCATGACTCAGAAGTTGTGAGCAGCGCGTACAGGTGTTACATACACTGTGACAGGCATTGTATCGCATTGAATAGCATTGTGTTGAATCGAATCGCTCTGTATCACAATAGGGGCGAATCGTATTGTATTGCATTAGTAGTTGCTTCATATGTATTCAGTGTATCTGGTCGTTGGCAATGCATCGGGATGTCTATCGCGGCAGCCCCATTGATGGAGATGCAGGTCCCTATGATCTATGATCCCTATGATTTTTTTGAATTAACAGCTGTTTTTCATATATATACAGTGGTACCTCAGTTCTTGAACTTATTAGAACTCGAATTTCTTAAAAGTCGAACCAACCAGTTCGAAAAAAAATTACCTAGAACTTGATCTGAATCTCAGAAGTCAAACCGTGAACGCTGACCTAAGATAACTTGTACACGTGGGGAAATTAGTCACGCGGCACGTCTCTCAGCGGAAACATAGGGTAATGCTTCAGTCTAAGCCTCGCATTCGCTGGGATAGCATTGTGCATGTTTACACTAGCTAAATACATATATTTAGACAGTAAAAATACATTTTTACAACCAGAATAGACAATGATAGACAGTAACAGTAATTATTATTATATAATAAAATACATTTAAAAATAAAGATTTCTTATTAATTATTTTAATATGAATAATAAACCATTAATACATTTCATTATAATAATATTGTCGTGCCAAGCGAGGACGGAACGGAGACAAAGACGCAGACGTCAGGGTATCGTGGAATACGGGGTTTAATTACAGGTAAGGCAGGCAAAACGCAGACGGACAATACAATTACCGGGCTGGGGAAACAAACTGAAACGCGGACGAAATACAGAGGACTAATGACAACAACCAGAAACAGCTGATCACACAGGGATTCCACACGGGGTTAACGAGGGGGCGTGGCACACGGAATGAGCGGACGATCGGGGCAGGACACATTGTTTTTTTTTAACTTTACACATTGTTTGGATACATTATTTTTCTTACTTTACAAATTCCTGTTTTGATAAATGTGCTTAGATGTGTTTAGTACAGTATATGCTCTTCTTGTTTTATCCGGTTAATTTTGTGTTTAAATGCTAAAAAAAACATATTTAGGTGTAATTTTTTGGGGCTGGGAACCAATTAATTGGTTTTCCATTATTTCTTATGGGGAAAATTCGATCACAACTCGAACTTTTTAGGATTCGATCCAGAGTTCTGAACGGATTAAATTCGAGTTCTGAGGTACCACTGTATTTGAAATTGAACGTCTGTTGATTACTGGTTTATAGTGTGCTGAGCAAACAAAAATCTACATGCTCTGTGCCCCCCCACCCCAGAACCAGAATACTTTGGTCCAGGCTTAGTACATGGTTCAAATTTGGCTCAGTAAATGGTTTAGCCCTGGCTCAGTAAATGGTTTAGCCCTGGCTCAGTAAATGGTTTAAGTCTTAGTGAAATAGATGGTTCAGCTCTGGCTTAGGAAATGGACACCTGCCTATAGTGATTCCTTATTTCTAATGAGTTTTAGGGATCCTGTTATTTATAGTGACTCCAATTTTTTTTTTGGAGACACCTGCTGTAGTGACAAAAGGGGGTACTTGGAGGAGGGGGGTGATGTTGGGCAGAGCCATCACAAAAATGAGCCGTTCCCCAGAGCTGATGCCTGCTGGAGCTGAAGCCCAGCATGGGGATTCACACCTACGCCTGTGCTGCGTTCCCCTCGCCCTGCCCAGCGTGAGGAGGCCGACCTGCTGCTATGCTGTGTTCCTCAGCAGCTGAGGCAGACTTATGTTGTGTTACAGGGGCTCTGTTTCCAACGCTGACCTGGAGATAATGGCGGTTGCTGCCCTGACTTCTCTGTGCACCAGCCCCTTAGTGCTCAATGATCCCACAGGAGCGTCAGGCAGTACCAGCGTAGGTACGTCTCATTCAGTAACCCCACTAACCCTAATCCTTACCAGTCCCCCAGATAGCACAGACATGTGCATTTCAATCAGTAAACCCATGAACCCTAACCCTAACTATCTCACCAGGTAGCACACATAGGTATGTCCTGATCGATACGTGCAGGATCCCATTGTTAATCGCATTACCTTTAAAGGGAATACATGTAGTTTTGGGTCTGTTGCTGCTGCAGACATTTATCTCCGTAGTCCGATTAACTTAAAAAGTATGTAATGCATCTTTGTAGACCCATTGTAACTGCTCAAATTTCGAGACATATTGCACCAAAGTTGAAGCAGCATCACACAGTGGTAGCAAAGAGAAGGGCAGCCTAAAACACTCATCTCATGAGCATGATAACTCAAAAAGTATTTGTTGGATCATGAACTTGGTATAGGACAGAGGTCGGCAACCTTTTTAAAGCAAAGAGCCATTTTCTCCTAAATGTCTGACCCAAGACTTACAAAGAGCCCCAATGGGTAAAGAAGGGGGATTGAGGTATAATGTGACATGTGTATATATTTATTTAACACAAAAATAAAAGTTAAAATAAAAGTACTTACAAAAACTATTTATTATTAGAAAAACTATTTTTTTTTGGGGGGGGGGGGATCTCAGGTTTAAATCACCCAGATGCGTAACAACACAAAGGTGACTGACAGTACAACACTGATTAGTTCTGTAGCGATATACTTCGCCCTCATCCCTCCTTTCGTTTGGCTCTGTAGTCGTCTGTTCTTCACTCTCCACTTCAGTACTGTAACTCTGCTGACCGAGCAGTGCAAAATGTACTCACCACTCCGAACTCAGCTGGCTATAATATGTAAATCAGAGAAAATATAATAATTTTTACGAAGACCTGGGAAGGCATGATAATGATTTACTACAAAAAGTATATGAAAGAATTAGGAACCCCAATAAACGTTGAAGCGTCCATCCAATCTCAGGTGCTAAAGAAAGCGTACCATTTAACCAGAGAGGTAATCTCGTTTTAGCAAATGACTTTGAGGAAGATGTAAATTATGCAGTTAAGACGTAACTGAAGTGTGCGACGAACTGCCCCATTCACATATAGTTAAAGACATATCTAAACGAAAAATAGTAATATTAACCAATAAATAAATTATTTATCTTTACGAAAGTATTATCATAATATGTTAAGACATGAAAATGTGAGTTCGTCTATCATTATGAAAAGAGAAGCAGCCACTTGGTAAAAGAGCCATAGGTTGCCGACCCCTGGAATAGGAGAAGGTCTGGAACTGACTTCATTTTGAGACAAATTGCACTAAAATTGACACAAACGCTGCTTAGTGGCAATAAAGGGAATGGTGACTGCAGAAGATACATGATCTTTTGAACACAGTAACTCTGTTTCAAACTTCCTAGGAGCAGTAGGTGATGATCTGGCATCTTATTTCATTTTGAGAGATATCACAGCAAAACTGAAGCAGTTTCACTTAGTGGTGGTCCATGAAAAGACAGTGACAGATGCAGATTTGACCTGATCATGTTCAGTCACACAAAGTTGGACTTTTAATAAAATAAGAAATTTGGAGTGGTGGGGAAATTTGGGATATTAGGTGGGGGAATAAAGATTGTAGGGGGAATGGATTCTTAAGTCACATGCAGCCTGTAGTGTTCACCACTTACTGCTGTTTCTGATGTTGTGCATGTGCAGTTCCAGAGGCAGCCAGCAGGTGGTGGAAGGCAGGCCTCTCCCCAAGCTACAGTAGTTCCACCAGTGACAACTGCAGCTGGGACACCAGTGACCAGTCAGGGCCCTCCACGCCATCTCCACCTTTGCCTGCAGACGCTGGGCGACATGGGGCACCGTATTCCCAGGATCTCACGGACGAGCCGGAGCCCGTCCACTTCCTGTTTGATGACCCTTGCCCGAGGAAGCGAAAGGTGGGCATTTGGTGTCATGTGATGGGGGAGGCCTTCTCACATTGTGTGTAGAGGGTGAGTATCGGTACTCAGAGGCTGACTTGCACCTGTGGACCCCGACCGGGACCTTCTCTGCGCCTGTCTTGTAGAGCTCAGTCAAGGTGATGTTCCAGTGCCTGTGGAAGAACTGTGCCAAAGTCCTGAGCACCACCTCAGGGATCCAGAAGCATGTGCGCACTGTCCACCTTGGGTAAGACACACAGAGGGAAGTGGCAGTAGGCTTAGGCTTAGGGCCAGTAGATAGCTTATATTGGCCATTCTCACACTTTGTTCACTCTGTGTTTGGACATTTCAAGTCTTATCAATTATTTAGAAGCAATTCCTGAAGAGTCACCTGATTCTGTTTGTCCTGGGCAGTTAAACCACATATATGCGGGTTTATCTTTGTAGCACAGTGTCCTGGAAATCGACTGAAAGTAATAAACCCTTCAAATTCATTTTGAACAAATGCTGTGCTGTACAATACCAATTACTGCCCCCTTCTGGTCAAAATGCTTAACATATTTCCTCATTGTAGAAAAATGTATGAGAGGAAGAACAGCAGGGAAGTAGTACCTGGTGTGTGTCTGTGGCTATGTGTTTCTGCCTGTGTACATGTCCAGCTACATGCATGTTCCTGTGTCACGTGTGTCTGTGCACACACTCCTGCAGTTTGAATGGGGACTCGGAACACAGTGAGGGAGAGGAGGACTTTTATTACTCCGAGATCGAGGTCAACATGGACTCTCTGTCGGAGGGCCTGTCCAGCCTATTGCCGGCCTCCCCCAGCACAGCCCCGCCCCTGCTCACCTTCCCTCCCTCCCAGACTCCGGCACGTGCCGCTCCCATCGCCATCACCGTACAGCCAGCCCTCAAATTCTTCTCCAGCCCTCTTAGTCAGTCAGCTCCTTCGGTGCTCTGCCACATCCACACTGACCATGCCTATCAGGTAAAGGACACTCTGGGCCTTACACAGTGGACACCTGCCTCGCGCCATCTGTCTGTTTACACAGGGTTAGCATCAGGGGCATCCCGCCTTTCTGTGTCTCTAACCCGACTCACTGTCTGTCTCAGGCCACACCTCCATCACAGGATTCCAGGGCAGAGTTCAGTGCGAAGGGGGTGAGCTCATCCTGGCAGTCACACCCTAAGCCTTTGAAGGGATCTCTGGTGAGCTTCTGTAACCCCAGGCAACCCCCCCTCCCTCACTGCAGGGATCTCGCAGTGAACTTGGCAGTGGTGCAGTCATGCTGTATCGGTTAAAAAAGTCCTCCTTTGTCAGTGGGAAAGCAGAAACTCAGCTGGAAGCACTGTCACCTCACTCAAACAGCTATTGTCAGCTGCACAGCTGTACCAGTAGGTGGCAGAGTGGTTTAGGACCTGAACCTGTCCTTCAAAGATATTAACTCTAAATCCGTTCATCACCCACCTGCTTACATACTTACACCTGCTTTGATAAAACTCGTGCTATACACAAGCGAATAAGGAGTATCAGAAACTGACTGCACTTCATGGCTCTGTTCATTATCTTCTGAATAATTTAATCTAAGTAAGTATACAGTGTGCTTTTTCACAATATAAACATGCATTGCCAGATATGGTTCATTCATGGCATCAAAAGACCTTTTGTCTAAGCCTCGGAATTTGAGTGTCTCTTGTGTTATACAAATGGAAAGAGTGTTAGCTGATGTCACACCCTCTAGCCCACCCACGATGCACTTCCTGCTGCTCACGCTCTGCTTCCTTTTTCCTGTGGCTGTCTCTGGGGCAGGAACAGAAACAGAGATGCTCGAACACTGACCAGATGTATCTCGCTCACAGCTGAGGCTTTAAATGGCTTCCCCCCACATCCCCTGCGATCCTGAACAGTACAAGCATTTGGAAGATGAATGGATGAATATTGTTTGCTATAAACTGCATTTAGTAATATTATGAATTATTTATTTGTTTGCAGATGCAATAACAAATGGTATAAGGCTGAAAAAGATACCCAAGTACTCTGAGATGTTATAGAGTAGATATGAGCTACAGAATGTAGTATGGTGTTTATCTAAACCTGGCTTGCCATTGAGCACACGCTCACACATGTACAATCATACAAGAACCGTATCAAGTCATTGAACTGCGGGAGGAATCTCATCCGACATGAGAGAGCATGCAAACTACACACGCACAGTTGACAGTGTGAGCCCACAGCACACATGTTTGAGACATGCATGGTTGCTGTACTCTTCTGGTTGTTCTTGGTGATCTCTAATCTGTGGTTTGTTCTTTCAAAGGGCACTTTTGTGCACATCTGCACTGGAGAGATGACACAGCCAGTCCCCCAGGTCACTGTCACTCGGACACACCCCATGTCTGCCCCTGCGGCCAAGGCCTCCGCAGGACCCAGGTATGTGGTGGTGCAGTCACCACTCGACTGGACAGGGCATCTTCCATTAAAAACTGTAACTGAGAGCTCCTAGATGCTTCCCTGTCTCCTACCAGGAAGCTGCGAGGCGATGCTAGGAAGTGTAGGAAGGTGTATGGCATGGACAAGAAGGACATGTGGTGCACAGCCTGCCGTTGGAAGAAAGCCTGCCAACGCTTCACAGACTAAACCAGGAGCTCCTGTCTGCAGGAGAGAAGGACTGCAGGCCTTCACAGACTGAACCAGAGCTCCTATCTGCAAGAGAGAAGGACTGCAGACCTTCACAGATTGAACCAGAGCTACTGTCTGGAAGAGAGAAGGACTGCAGGCCTTCACAGATTGAACCAGGAGCTCCTGTCTGCAGGAGAGAAGGACTGTAGGCCTTCACAGATTGAACCAGGAGCTCCTGTCTGCAGGAGAGAAGGATTTCAGACCTTCACAGATTGTACCAAGATCTACTGTGCATAGGACTGCCAGCCTTCTGCTGGTTCCTGAATCCCTGTTAGTTGCACACTGACATACTGTTGAGTTAGAGCTGGGGTCCCATTGGCTGAACACTGGCATTCTAATGCACAGGTCCTAATGTCTCATTGGCCAGGATCTGACATTCAGGTGACTGGGCGTAATTGTCTCATCCTACTAGCTTTGTGTAAGTTTCTCAGTGATGAAATCACACAGTGCCTGGTGTACAGAAAAGCTGTAAAAATGTAAAACAAATAATTTTTTTATGAAGTTTTAAAGCATTTGCACACAGAAAATGCACACAATGCAAATGCATTTTATCTAATCTTTTGCCTGTCTTCATTGTTCATTAATGGGCATTATAGTTTTTGTTTAATAAGCCTTCTCAGTAATCTCATTTTCTAGGTTCTTTTCTAGTCCAAATGGCTTGCTGAAAGATTTTGTTAAAGCACATTATAACATGTTAGCTCAAGGTTTTTTAACTTGCTTACTTTGTTGATCCTGCAGTAATGATCTACTTTTTGCATATTTTGAAGGAATGCAGTGCTATACAATACAATTTTTTGTAATTGTGATCTGAAGGCATAAAATGAAAAACGGAAAGGAGTATGATGGTTAATGTGTTTAATGACGGCAGCCCCGCAGCAGCCCACGTGGACCCATGGAGGGGTCCCCTGTGTCGGGGGTCTCAGAGGCAGTGTTCATATACTCCGCTTCAGCTCCTCTGTGCAGACCTGACCCAGGTCCTCACTTTGTAGTGATGGGAAGCAGAACGTGATGAAGTGTTCAGCTGAAGTTTGCATATAGCACTGTAAACAATGGTCGTGCTGTACTTGGAAATGAACCTTTTCATCATTTCTTTGAGCTTTAAAAACAAATTCAATATCAGGTCTAATGCATTTGCATTTCATGTTTGTAAGGACAAGAAAAGGTGTCTATTTTCATATATTTTGTATACAAGTTAACTTCAAATTCAAGTATGTTAAGGAAATCGGTGGGGAGGTTAATAGCAAAAATTATTTATAATAATAGTGATGATGATGATGATGATGATGATAATAATAAATGTTATTATTATTATTCATAATAATTAATAATAAAGCTTTATTTGCAAAAGTCCCCTGAGACTGTGCCTACAGTATTATCTTCCCTAATCTGCCCCCTGCAGGATCTGTCTTTCATAGCACTAACTCAGGTGAAACTGAACTGTCTTTAAGGTAAAATATTTTATCCTTGAATAATCATGTATTAGTTAGTTAGGATTTTACCCAAGAACAGACTAAAATGCAGGAAACACCAGTGGTTTTTCCAGCAGCACTTTCCATATTTATTGGGAATGATTGGTTAGCAATTCATTGTCAAGCTAATTGCCACCAACAGGTGGCGCAGAGAGGCATAGCTATAAAAAAAAAAGTACTCGCGTCATGTACAAAGTAGGAAAAAGTTTCTGGTAATATCAAGTCCACAAAATAAGAACACGCTGCTTTTCTGGCTCTGCTTTCAAAAAGACTAAAGTACAAAAAGACGGCTTCATACCCAACACCAAAGTCCACATTGTACAGAGAAATACACTGGAATAGAAGGGCAATTCAAAAAAATCAGCCGTTTTGGAAGAATACATCATGAGATCATGTAAAATAAGCATACACAAAAGACAGCACTCGGTAACCAACCAGAGTAATATAGCTTTTAAAAAATGAACTACAATTTAAAAACTCTCATACTGTATATATGGCTTTATATGTGAAGTTGATAATCAGTTTAATGCACCAATAGTTATTTCTTGCACATATTTATCCTTTACAGAACGAGATTTATAAGAAATTTTCAGGTGTAAAAATTCGTTTAAATGCAGTGTTTGTGCGGCGGTGTACTACATAGCAAAACATACAGCATATTTTAGTATATTTGAATTTTCCTTAAGAGCACAGTAAACTGTATATTATACAATACTGTGTGTTGTACATTATAGACAATATTGGGAAATGTCCCCTAATTTGCATACACAATTCTTATAATGTTCGTATAATTTAAATGTTTCACAATAATGACGATTTATTGCCATATGTTTCATAATGAATGTGCTGCATTCCTATACAGCTCTTTAATTAAAATAGGCCTATCTGAGTTCCATTGTGAAATTCACTCCTTTTCCTGTAGGAACAGGCAGGACCCGCACACACCTACCAAACGAGAGGAACACTGAAAGTTGACTGATAATGCTATCAATCTGTGATGAAACGAAGTCAAGAGCGAAGAAGTGGTATAAAGTGTGTGTGTGCGCGCGCGTTGTTGGGGGGGGGGTACACTTCCTCCTGCCGTCCACTGTCCATGAAAACGCACTTCATGGTGAGTTTCTACAAGTACGCAGGGCGTTTGCATAAGTCGACTCTCTCTGGGGTGAAAATGTCACGTTTCCCAATATTGTCTCCCCCCATTTCCCTACTGCTGTGTTATTATTATAAAGTTTAGTTTTGTTCATTTAAAAAGCCCTGTGTGTGGAAACCCTCTATCGGCCGCCAGTGGCTAGTGAGAGAGGATTCGTGCTGGGTCAGTAGGCTATCCTGAGTGGACAGCTTTAACACGACGCCATCAGCAAGCACAGGCCATCAGTCCAACGGCGGCAGATTATTGAGCATTACTGTCAATCCCCAGTCTTCTACGGAAATGGAAACTAATACAGGCAGTGCGAGGAAGCTGTAGAAGCAGATAGAGACTGACAGAGAGCAGCAGCCCCGCCCACCGCTGCTCTTACAGCTCATTTCCTGCATCATCAACGCTTTATGCCTCAATCGTTACGGAGCTGCTAAGGGGCCCTGAGGCTTGAACAGTTTGATCTTTTATGTCAGTAGCGTCATGGCGTCACGGCAGCAGGGCGGCAGCAGGATTTGAATCGTCTTCCCCCGTGTTCGGGAGGAATCCCGGTCTTGGAAGTCCGCTGGTGAGCAGCTGTGGATCAGCATGCGAAGAAAGCGCACAAACACTCACAACAGGACGTCAGTCCCTGCATCCCACGAGACTGAGAAGCTCCACGTTAGAAAAATTATTTGTATATAGGCTACATAGCATAAACAGCAAAAAACACATTCAATGCGAAACAAATTACATTCTGATCTTAAAACTAGCTAGTCGACCAAAGAAAAGACTTTATATGAGTTATAATGTATATTTGATTTTTGGTATAGAAGATTGTGCTATATATTTTATATATACACACACTCATTCCTTTATATATGATATATAGCAAATAAGTTAGCATTTAAAATCATGTATCAACAAAGCTGCAGCCTTGTGAGTAACATAGCCACACGGCTTGTTTTCAACAAAGCAATTATTTAAAAAATTCTCACTGTGTGTGTATATATATATATATATATATATATATAGATATATAAAAAAAAAATGAGTGCTAAAGTTAGCATCCAGCTCTCAGCCGCACCAAACAAATATTAAACATTTGTATTGCCAAGAACAAACAGTAAAATTGAACTTTATCATAATAAAAGCAATATTATATTTAAAAGCAAGAGTTCCATCCAAAACATCCCAGAAAAACATAAAAACAGCGAGGCGACTTTGCAGCCGAACTCAAACAGCTTTGTGTGCTTGTTTCTCTCCGTGGCTAGATGCTAATGGAGCGTGCCTAAAGAATCAGTGCGGGCAGGCCAAGCCACAGGGCGAGGCGAGGAGCCAAGCGGGGCCAGAGCAGGGCATCCTCCCTCGTCCCGGTTTAAAGAGCACGGGATCCTTCACTAATGGAAAGTGATTGTCGTACTACTCGGGAAACAGGGATGCAGTGAATAATCCTGCATTAAGTCGAGCTGCTTTCTCTCCCGATAACAGCTCCTTGTGTTTATGTCATATGTAGATATTAACAGATTACATTCAGAAAGGTTATGAAAGACATGACCATAGGTGGCATAACTGTTAGGGATCTGGAGATTAAATCAGTCTGCTGCAGTCAGTCCATTTTCAGGGAGGGAGATGCTGTACCTTTAGGGGGGGGGGGACTCAGCTTGAATCGTTTCATTAAATATTTTCTTATATGAAAACAAAACTGTAAAAAAACAAGTATACGCTTCGGATCGCACCGAGTCTGCAGAGCGAGTGAATATATAACGTGGTAATTCTGGAATGAATGTAAGAGTGAGCGTGTCCCGTTAGAGCAGGGCAGACTTGCGGGCGAGTCTGGAGCACCAAACCCAGCCGATGCCCCCGGCAGCCGCCCGATCAAGTAGGTTTTGAGCACGGGCGCACCGAGGGAGGGGCGGCTTCCATCACCCCGGCGTGACAGCCCACGGGCTGCCTAGGGCTCAGAGTGGTGCCCCCCAAGCGTACCGGGAACGCCGTCGCCGAACGCTGCATGTTGCCGTTTCCTCTGGGGTTTATTACACGCTCATCTGGACTAAGAAGCCCAGTGGGACTCTCTACGGGTCTCTCCGTCCATCTCTTGCGAGTCGCTGCCCTCCTTCTCGTCCTCCAGCATTCCCAAAGCGGCCTCCTCGTTGCCGTCGCGCGGCATTCCTCCACGGACGCCGGCCGCTCGCTCGGGGGTGACCAGCTCCCCCCGCAAGCCGCCGGGCCTGGCGCAGTCGGAGCAGATGCCGTGCCTGCGCGAGCCATGCCGGATGCCCACGCTGGCTGCGCACACGAAGGCTCTGCTGCACACTTTGCAGGTATACTTCTTATCCTTACTGTGCACCTGCGACAGAGACATGCATCCCTGAAGGCGGGCTCACCCAACTTAGCGCGAAAACGGTTCACAGCGCTACCTTGCTATCCTGCTTTATGTTCTAGTGTAACCCTACAAAATAGCTTTGAAGAAGAAATCAAAGGAACTACATTTAATATTTTTCACTCCGTGAATAACTACAGGCTCCTGTGTGTGTAGCCGTTAGACACAGCGGTTCTACGCATTGTGTACCGACTCAGTATCGCCCCCTGCCGGACACCGACCTGCGTATGCCTCTTCATGTGCTCCCGGCGCGTAAAGGTCTTGCCGCACGTCTCGCAGGGGTATGGCCGCTCGCCGGTGTGCGAGCGCAGGTGCCTCTTCAGGATGCACTGGTGCATGGCGGAGAAGCTGCAACAGGGGCAGCGGAACTTCTTCCGGACCACTGCGAAGTCGCCGGCTGGATGGATGGAGGATGGGGAGAGTCAGCGGCGGAAGTCGGGCGCCCATCATACAACTAATGTTTCTCCCGGTGGAGAAAGCGAGGCGCCTCTGCTTGCTCGGGTTTCACGTTAATCTCGTCTGTTTAGCCCTCGACTACCTTTCCTCGCAGCCTTTTTTTTTTTTTACGGGACACAACTATCAGTATTATGAAAATCACATACATGATGTCCGAGCTTCACCCCGACTGCTCACAGGTTTTAAATTAATTCAAACTACGACTTAAAAGAAAGAGCCGGGAAAACGGAGATGAAAATGGCAGTCTCCGACGTATTTCTGCAAAAGCACCTGATACAACCAGCAAACGAAATGGTTTGTAAATTAGGCAATAGCGGGACTCGATCTGCTTTACAGCATACAGCCCAGTCTCCTGAGGAGTTAAGGGACAATTAAACACGCCCGCTGCAACTTCACCACGCTGAATTAATCTTTTGTTATGGGCGGGTATTTAAGAGATTTTATTCTTTTCTCAACATTGCTTGAATGAAAAGGCCTTAGGTCTGCTTGCTTCCCCCACAGTGGCAGACACAGAGATCGACAGTGACGGTGTCGCCTGGTCTCCCTGAAATCAATATGCGGGAAAAAGAGGCGATTCTGTCTCCGCATCAACATCGCCACTCTTTCCGGAGCACAGCAATCGATATCTCTTAAATAGGCGCCTCTGGGGTGAGTGTGAAACACAGGACAGTGTCATGACAGCTGAGGTTGGCTGCATGCTATTTACACGTTCACATCGGTCTAAAATCAGCTGCACAGCGACCATGTTTTCTGTGATCGTAATCGTGGAGTTTACCCCTTTATAGACAATCGCATGGCCAAAGAGCGCTTATAAAACCATCCAAAACGGACACCTGATAGGTATTAAACATATAGTTAATTACACCAAATTTGACGGCATATATTTCATTAAAGGCAGCAGAGTGGGTATCAACTACAAAAAAAAACATTTTTTGGTTCTGCAAACAGGACTGGACATTTTTAACAAATAACTTCTGCTGGTCAGAGCACAGCAAGAAAACACCGCAATCAGGAAAAGCTACAGCAGGTGGCGCTGTGGCATCAGACTTAACACATCCAGTGATCTCAAGATCCCAGTTTCTAATAAAGGTTATACACATTATCTCTTCCCTCCATGTACAGCAAATACAGAAGCCCCCAGCAGTTTGTGTGTAAAAGTGCACATGACTGCACGGTCTCTCCACGTGAAAAAGTAAGCTCCACACACTTGCTGGTGCTGCCCATTTGAGACCCCACCCCCATTAGCGAAATGTGACACTAGAGACTTAAACCAAATGCAACCTTAAGTTCTACAGAGGCTTGGGTTATGCCTCTGTGCATGGATGGTCCCTGGTTTGAGCCCTGGCCTCGGCAGAGCTTCTGTTGGACCTGAAGGCAAGACCCTTAACCCTCAAAATGCCACAGGGCTGCCAGATAAGTGGCCTGACCCTGTGCACAGACCCCAAGCTTCATTCTCACCTCATATATATGTCTCAAAAGGAGAGGAGGATGGGATACGTGAAAGGAAACATTCCAATGTACCTGTACTCAGGCAAAGGGCAAATAAGGCATCATTTCAGCATTTTTGGACACTGTCACAATGCAGAGTGGGTGTTTGTCCGGGGTCGGACCCCCGCAAAGTGGCACAGAGGGCTGCTCTGCTCCCTCATGAGGCTTCCTGGCCCGAACCCGGCCAGCTGCAGCATGATAAACCCTCTTTGTCCCTCTGCAGACATGGGCTCCCCATGGGGGGTGGGGGGGGCTGCCTTTTAACAGGTTTGTTTGCTCATCACTGACTTGCGTGTGTATAACCTCCTCCCCCCACCCCACCAGCAGACAGATGGCCTGACCCTCAGCGGACACCGTGGGGTGGGGGTTATGGGGGTGCAGGTTTGTGTGCACGTTCANGGGGGGGGGGTTATGGGGGTGCAGGTTTGTGTGCACGTTCATTCCGTCCTGCAGATGTATGAGGCATGGGCTGTGGCGGGGGTCACTGCCCCACCTGTCAGGTCGGCATTATCACAGGGGGGCTTTTAGATCACTTGGACCCCAAAAGACGGGAAGGCCAGCGGAACAAAAGCCCCCCCGCATGTAGGCAATCATCAGGGCACAAGACTCAGGTTTCTCCTGGTCCTCTCATCCTCCTGCTCTCTCTCTCTCTCCTTCTACCTCTCCTGTTTATAGAGGTCAGGTTGGGGCAGTCCTGGTAGGGATGTCTGTGGGTGTGTGTGAGGGGTGGATTCTCCTACATTCCCAGTGAAAATCGTAGGACGAAGCTGCTGATCTCGAGTTACGCCCCCCCCTCCCCCTCCTGAGTGGAGTTGCTCACCGCAGCTTCACCGGCCCACGCTGGGATCTGGGATACAGGAGTCGTGTTCTAAGGAGGCCTACAGCCCATAGTAAACAGTGCACCAGGTGCACATCACAGGGCAGTGAAAGCGTCCTGCCTGGAGGATACAGGAGGCCGGCGGCTTTCTCCACATCGCATCTGTATCCCGAAACATCAGGAAAATCAGACCCCAGGGAGGAAGGAAGGGTTTATGGATGGAGAAGAGGACCTAAGGGAGAGCAGTGCCAGTGTGTTGGGGGAAGGGCACTGCTCAGGGGGTTGTGGCTGGCGGTAACCCGGGAAACGGCGGGCAGACTCACAAGACCCGCCTCCCGTGTGAGGCAGGTGCTCCAGCAGCAGTCCGGCTTCCTCCTCTAGCAGCTCAGCATGTGCTGCCAGCATGCCACTCCTACCAGACAGCGCCACCTGCAGGCTGGCCTTCTCTGACACCCCTGCGCGCCACGTCTCCTCATGGGGCTCCTTGTGGTCACCATAGCCACCTGGACCGTTGTGATCTTCCCCGGCAGCGTCAGCCACTAGGAGAGGAGGAGCAGATCATTACAGGCCACAGAGACCCGGGGTGCTGTCCCCGAAAGGCGGCCGGGACCAGAACAGACCCTGCTGTCCCCGAAAGGCGGCCGGGACCAGAACAGACCCTGCAGTCCCGGAAGGCGGCCGGGACCAGAACAGACCCTGCTGTCCCCGAGAGGCGGCCGGGACCAGAACAGACCCTGCTGTCCCGAAAGGCGGCCGGGACCAGAAGAGACCCTGCTGTCCCGAAAGGCGGCCGGGACCAGAAGAGACCCTGCTGTCCCGGAAGGCGGCCGGGACCAGAACAGACCCTGCTGTCCCCGAAAGGTGACTGGGACCAGAAGAGGCTCTGATGTTGAACCATAGAGTCCCGTTAACACAGTGCACATGCTCACCTTGCAATGTCCTGGGGAAAGGCAGGATAATCATGAGTTATAGCTTTGGATAAGTCTGCTTTTGACAGGCACTCTCACAGACATGGCCACACGGAGCAGAGTTAATTACAGCTTCGGGAGGGTGCATTCGAGTCAGGGCTGGGGGGTGGGGGGGTGGTGCACAGTAAATATGAAAGCTGATTCCTCCCACAGACAAAGAACAGGGCCAGCTCAAATCAAATGGAAGGTGCCAAAATCCCTGCCCAGAGCTTCCCCCCTGCCATCCCCTGCCACCCTGAGGTGCACATGTAGCGTCGGTCATGGGCAGCGAGTGACTGACGGTCGCCCATGAAGAGCATCATGCCGGCGGAGCCGCAGTTCGGCTGCTAGTGGCAGATGGCGTACAGCAAGCGGGTAATTATGGACCTGAGCATCTGCCGTGACCACAGCGTGCCTGACGGGCCTGCGGGACCAACGCTGACGATGTACTGTTTAGATGGGGCCACAGGGCGCGTCGCATGGGAGGAGGAAGCTGACAGGAGAAGCCATCAGGCCACGAGGTTCTGTTAGCGCAGGGAAGGTGCTCCACGGTCAGCAGTCACCGTCCAGGGCTGATTTAGGGTCACCAGGTCACCTGAAACGTCACAGCCGAGGTGCCACATGCCAAATGACAGGTTGGGGACAGCTTGCCGAGGTCAGCTGGCTGTTTAGGCGCAGGGAGCCTTTAATAACGAGATGCCTTTACGCAGAGCAACCAGCAGAGCGCGCCACACCTTTGATGCCAAGTCTGCCACATTTTAAGGTACAGCACCTCTAACCCTAACCCTTCTTTACATGTAAGGGGACTTGCCAACCCTAGGGCACAACAGTAGCTCCCTCTGTGAAGAAGGACACGCCACCTCTCTGCGAGAGCTCCAGGTTCACTCGCATGAAATGAGGCTTTATCACAGATG